TCCACAACTATAATGTATTTTAGATCCATTGTATATACACCTTTTGTTGAAACCAATGCATATTTTTAAAGGATATTTTTCATAAACTTTCTTTTGAAAAGATATATTTGTTTGTTCTGGATATTCGTATATTTGTACAAGGACAAATATAGTCTTATACAAAGACCATTCTACGTATCTTCTTCACTCGACTTTAATCTCATCTAGATGTTTTCTGGTGGGACAGCGGTAAGGTTACGGGCTTACAACACTAAAATCCGGGATTCGATTATCTGCCGTGGACACAACAGATAGCCCAATGTGGCTCTGTTCTGAAAAATACAAACAAATCCATTTTTATTTGAGTGTCGGCCGCTCAGGCATTTTGTATTAACCAAGATTTTTTACATATGGGTGGCTGGACCTGACAGCAATTCTAAAGGGCGAACATATTCGGTGATGGTGATTCGAACCTGCGACCTACAAATTGCAAGTCAAGCGCTTTAACCACCAGGTCATGCCAGGCCTACAAGGACTATCTGTGCTGGCCGTCCCTAAATTTGAACTGATAGACAAGAGGAGTAGTCCCCAGTTATCTCCACACTAGGCCATTTCACATGATGACCATAAAGCTAAGGGTCATGTCTAAGGTCGTTGGGGAATACGCCGTTCCATAAATATAGTTTTGCTTACTCTTTATGATTAACATTGCAATATCTAACCACAGTATTGGCATGAATTAGGCTTTTGAAAGCCTAATGTGGTCTGCGAACCAACTATTAGGGACCACTGGATTAGAGGGAAGGCAGCTAGTCAACAGCACTCATATAACGCACCCATTGCCCACAGTGCGAAGCACAATTTTTCTCTCATGAGATGCGAACCGTAAGCTTTTGGATTCACATTCCGGCACTCTAACCACTGGGCTAACGACAGTAGTCAGAAATTGATTGTTATATTACACTAAGGTGAAACTGACAGGAAACCAAACCCTATCAAAAATGCATTATTCGCACTGCTTTGCCCTCAAACTTGGTTTGGATTGGATACAGGAGAAGGTGGGATAAGACGTCTACCTTAACTTAGAATGAAGATTTTCACGAATTAAGATGATTGTCCTGAAAAAACGAAAGGTTTTAAAATCAACCTTGTTTTATTATAAATCTCATTTTTAGTTAAAACAAAGATGTATTTTAAACATTGTAAAATGCACCTCTTCTGGTTGGGGGGTCATTGCACCTATAAGGTTAGACAAAATGGATCCCCAAATTCTCCAGACAGAGATCGGAAGCCCGTGTAATATCTGCAAGTCGTATATTATCTAGGACAATGGCGCAAATTAGTGTGGGGCAATAAAGTACATTGCAGTAGAAACCTATGACGGAAATGTACGTCCTTTGTGTGGGATAAGACGGCCTTACCATCAGGGTCCAAAATTCGTGTCGTTTTGTCAATCTTGGCCAACTAGGAGGCCCATAGGCTGACTAGAATAAATAATAGTAATAATAACTTAATCATTCCTATTAGGTTAATTATCATTTACCTTGTGGTATGTTTTAGTCTCACGAAAATATCTCCAATCTCCCAAATGGAACCTCTGGCTTTTTGAGGTTCCCTGGTCTATTATTAAGCATAATGGAGAATCCCTATGACATCTTAAATGAAAAAGAGTTTCCTGTAATATGTAAATGTCGAGATCGATCCAAATGAAGAGTGACAATATTAACATATCAGTGGAAAAATACCTTACATTCCGATCAGTATTAAAATAGTAATGTCAAGCCACATTACTTTTGTATTTATCTGAATACATATTAAGATTATGTATGTTCCAAGAGTGATGTAATCAAAAACTACTGTTTTTTAATTAAAAGGTCTTGCTTAATGTTACACTTATACACACATAGATATTTGCAATTCTGTCTTTCTTGAAACAAAGTTACACTTGCATTTGATAAAATGGAATTAACACACACATTCCTATCTATACCTGTTGTCGAAGTGAACCAGTTAACCTGATAAAGACCAGTTAGAATCCCTAGAGGACCAGTTAGAAATTTTCTAAATTTTGTACTCTGCTAATTACCATCTCATTTTGAAAATAAGTTGAAAAGTTTTGGTACACCCAACTATCAACTGATTTTAAAGACAAGACGCAGTTTTTTAGTAGACCCAACCACCAAAAGTCAATATACAGTTTTTGGTAGACTCATTATCATCTACATAAAGTGCAGTTTTTTGTAGAATCTTATTTTAAATAGTTGCAGTTTTTAATCAACATCACTACCTTATGATTTTAAAGAATAAGTGCAGTTTTTATTGGACATTATTACCATCTGAATTCAAAGTCAATGTTAAGTTTTTCATAGACCTCAGTATTGTTATGTCTGTGTTCGTTTGTTAATTTTCCGTAGAAAATCTTTCCGAAGAAACTTCTGTGATACAAGTCCTTTCTTAAATAAAATTAGTTTATTCTTTCTCAATTCAACTGTGCAATACACTTAATTTCCACAGTCACTTTAACTTAAACTCACGCTATAATTCAAAACGATTCACGCCCTTTACTTACGGTGCCCGCTTGACTCAATTGTCCGTCTCTATCTCTGCCTGTCTGCAATTCTATCTCGATTAATTTTCTGGCGCACTTATATACAAGAATAGAGGGCGCCTAACAAATACTGGATTACTCGTGATGTTCTCCCGATCTTTCTAGAACTCATTACGTGTTACCAGTGTCACGTGACTTCCGCTGTCGTAACAGTATCATCTGAATTAAAAGACAATATGGAGTTTTTGGTAGCCCTTAATACCATCTGAATTCAAAGACAAGAGAAAAGGTTTCTTAGAATTCGCTATAACATAAGTGAAAGTACAATGTTTTCCAATTAGCCTAAAATTATAGTAAAAATAATTAGAATATCGACGTAAAAAAAGCGATACAACACATAAGATAAACAAATCTAAAATGAATTATAATTAAAAGAAGAAAAAATTAATGGAAAAGTGAAGTTAACTAGAGAGAAATAAACAAAGATCTATAATCATAATGCCAGTTATGTGTTATGATTAATTTATGACTAAAATTTCGAAAGAAATAAGACTTTTTTATATTTACGGTCAAGAAAATCATTTACAGTAACAAGGATTTCTATTTGTAAAGGACAACCAGATGTCGGCCTACCATATTTTTCTAGGAAGTGATCTTCTATGGCATTGACATCTTTGTTCTTACATATTCAACAAATCTGTCGTGTAATGCATAAAATGTTTCTTCGGTGTAAAATTCATTGCATATTCTACAAATTACTTTATGAATAACATTTTATAATGCATTTATCCTACTTTCTTGCGTCTATCTAATTTCTATTTTGCACAATGTAAATGAATAGGTTATCTCAAGTTAAAGTAACCTGGGAAGGCTCATGTCGTTCAGTGGGCTGTAATTGAATAGACTTGATGTTAAAAAGAACCCCAAAAAAACTTGACTGTTTGAAGATGCTCATTTTGTATTGATATACAAAATCATATTTTAGTACATTGACAAATGCCCAATCGTCAAAATTTAAAGTACAAATTCAATTGAAATTCACAAAATTGAAGACTGAATATCAGCGGATATTAAAACGAATACCAAGTTTACTAGACTACATTAGTCTTGAAGCTACATACTTAATTTAAATTTTAAGATTTTATTTTATAGGATATTACTTATTTATTTTTGTTAGTTTTAATATGGGTGTTAGCTTTATTTTCTAAAGAAACAGTTGTATTGAAACCTGATTTTTTGCGTTATAAGCTCTTAGACATACCTCGGAGCAACCAGGAAGCTATGGTTTGGGAAGAAAAAAAGTGCTAGTAAAAAAGCCACTAGACTACTTTTATTATTAATTACATAATTTCAATTATGTCTATACTGTTACGACAGCGGAGGTCACGTGACTCTGGTAACACGTGATAAGTGTCTAGAATGTTCATGAAGAGGCGAGTGCATTCGAGACGCCCTCTATTCTTGTATATAAGCGCGGCAAATAAAGCTGGCTTCTATTTGGTCCCGACTAGTGAAAGTGGGTTTTCTCGGGGTACTCCCGTTTCCCCCCACATCAAACTCTTTGGCATTGGATCTATAGATTCCAACCTTGGCACTTGGATCCACTAATCCCCGCCAGGCCCTGTAAAGGCCCGTTTGCTTCATTTTGTTTCGATAAATTGTCAAAATCTTCAAAGATCAACCGGCCTCTGCTTCGCCTTGAACTTGCCTTCACTTCCGCCTACTTGCCTCACCATCATTCGTATATATACGAGAATATATATATATGTATTTAATTTTTTTTTAATTAATTAATTATTATTACTTCTTCTTCGCCCATACGACTCATTATTCCGCTGACCATTAATTGAAATTTAACCTTATGTCACGAGTAGGGTGAAGGAGGATTGTTTAATCTTCGAGCACCCTTGATTAGTAATTATTTCTTAGGAGATAATTATTTTTAAATCTAAATAACTGCCAAGAACAACAACAGCAACAAATAATTAATTGGATAGCAGACAGAGAGATAGGGAGACAGATAATCGAGTCAAGTCGTAAGTAAAGTGCGTGAATCGTTGTGAATTATAGCGTGTGTCTAAGTTAAACTAACTGTGGAAATTAAGTGTATTGCAAAGTTGTATTGAGAAAGAATAAACTAGTTTTATTTAAGAAAGAACTTGTATCGCTGAAGTTCTTCGGAAAGAATTTTTACGGGAAATTAACAAACGAACAGAGACGTAACAATACTATTGATTTTATTAACATATTTTATTTAGAACATGAATAATAGATTATGATTTACTCTCTAGACTATAGTGTATATTAATATCTTCCCGATGATACAAGCAAAATGTTGATGTTCCTTGTCTTACGAGAAGTATAATTTAAAATTTCAATATCGTTGATTCTTTTATTGTAGAGGGCAATATTTTGATTTCTCAGTAACCATGGAGATTTCTTGTATATATATTTTTTGAAGTGTGATTACCAATTTACAACGAAGATATTAGTATGATAGCAGAAAGACTGATGGCTTCATAACGAATTTGAAAGGGAAGCCATGGCAGGGGTAATATAAAACTTAGTTTGTTATTTTCTTACGTTATACTCAAGTTAGTATATTTGATTTAATTTAAACATGAATAACATTAACAACATTCATTAGCATGTGCCAATGAAAGATTAAAAAGAATATTATTATTTTATGAATGACACTTTTACTAAGTTTTAGTTTTAAACACATGGCAACTCAGCTGGGCTATAACTTAATATAACTTCATGAACAGTTAAAAAAGTGAAATAAGAACATCATGTCATATCGTATTTAATCGATTAGGAAGCATATTGCTTAAACATTAAATTTAAAGTTGATGGGTGTAAACTATAATACTGTTAGTTGCCATACACACTCAGTTTCTCTTTCAACTTGAAGTTCAATTTAGATTGGATATCATTCAGCAAAGGTTTCCAATAATAACGTAAATGTATTGTAAGAGACAAAAATGATATTTTTGCTCTAAGCTTGAGTAGGTTAAACTTAATTAATTGTCAGTACTAACACTGGGGATAAAGATACGTTTGTTTTTAACCCAGGAGGATTTGAAAAAGTTAATAGGAATAACTTTAGTCTTCAAAGTGTGTTTGATATAGGCTTACACTTAGATATTAAGATTAGGAACTTAAAATAAACCTATTGTTTGGAAAAATATTGAGTTTCAAAGAAAGAAAATAATTTGTATAATCATTTGTAATATACAGCTTAGGTAATTAATACATAAAACTAAAACCTTTTACAGAGTGTTTGCATGAGGCCATGAAGTTAGGTTGCAAGGATGTCTGAATATTTGTACTATTAATAGATCAATCTGATGTAAGAACAACTGAATCTTCAATTTATATACTTTCAAAATATTGTGCTCAGCTATCATCTTTTTCCAGAGAAAATATATTGATTTGTTGAACACAGTATATTAAGTGCATCTAGTCAACAAAAATCATGCATCAACTTAATTAGCTGAATATTGTTGTTTACTTCTCTTACATAAGTTTATGAACAGTAAATGTTGTGCCTAAAATATTGTGATATTTAATTTTGTAAGATTGATATGGTGACATCAGCAATCCATTTGCCATTAAACATATGAATGGAAATTAAATCTTTAAATATATTGTTTAACCATTTAGATGAGGAAAGAGATTTATAAAAGGGAAAGTAAGAAAATTGAGTTCTGTGATTATTATATTATATAATTACCAAACAAAGGTTACAAAAGAATTTTAGTAAAACTCAGCAGTAACATTTTTTTTAAAAGAAAGGCTGATGAAATATTAACATGTTATTCTTTGTAGTAAAAAAAATAAATTAATCCATTATCAAAGCTGACTTATCCATAAGTTTCTAGCTAATCTGTGCATCTTCTTGTAAGTTACATGTACTAGGGCATGCTCCATTACAATTGAAACTGAAGTCTTATCAAAGAGTTAAAAGTTGGTAAGCTAGGAAATTTTATTTTATAAACAATGTTGAGCATTGTTAATTGCATTACAGTTGTCAGTATACTTTTCTAGGTTCTATCTAACATTACATTCCAAAACCTTACATATTACAACAGATTAGTAAGGCAAGATTTCACATATGTGAAACTTATTAGTAAAACTAATATATGCCTTTACTTCAATTCATGATGTCAGAAAAACATGTAGGTTCAATAAGTCTTGATACAAAATGATAAAAACCCTATAACCCAAGCACTTTCGAAAGGTGAACCTTTCTTCTTCAGGGGAAAACTGATTCCTAGTTTGTTTGTTTTTATTTTAAGAATCTGCTTAGAGACTTATTACGTATATTAATGATTATGTGCACTCAGAGTGTGGAAAGCTGGAAAGGATTTGCTTTTTATATGACACAAGTATTAATTTTATGAAAAAGAGAAGGATGTAGATGTTACTGTTGATAAACAGTAAGGCATTCAGTTTATTGGCTGTTATTTTAAAAATAGCTAATAGATTTCAGGGTTCCGTTTATAGGAATTGTGATTAATATATGGTAACAAGCTAGTTATTGTAACCTTGTATAAGATTACATTTTATCTCAGTACAGTGTGTAGGTTTGGTGAGCAACTAGAATGATGCTTGATTTAAGAAATTTAACCTATGATGAAGCTTAGTTTCGAAGTTTTAGAATTGGTTATAGGAGATTTATATATAATACTGAATTCCAGTGTTAACAATGTTGAAGGTTTAGAAAACATCCTTTTAGTAGTCTATTTCAGAAGTGGAGGGGAAGGGATCTGATTGAGGTGTTTAAGAATGTAAAGGGAATTGATAGTGTTCATGCATCATCTTTTTTCATATTTAACAGTGAGAATAGTAGGAGTAGGGGACACAAATAAAAATTTTAGCAAGGTAGGAGTCATCTTCAGCTAAGACACTTTAATTTTTCTAACAGGGTGGTTGGCCTTTGGAATGGGTTTCCTTCGGATGTTGTAGAGGCAGTAAATGTAATTGAGTTTGAGAAAAAGCTTGATAAATATATGAATGATAAGGGCTGGTTTTAAGATTATTTTTTAAAAATTATTTTAATTTAGTTTAGAGTATGGAACAACTGAGATGGACCAAAAGGTCCTATATTGTCCCAAAACATTATGTTATGTTAAATAAAAGCAAGATTATTAAGAGATAACAGGTGTAAGCTTTGAAGAACCAAATGAACACTTTTGTTTGTGATAAAAAAAATTTTTGGTTAGAGTTGTGGACTCGTGGGATGGTTTTTCTGATCTTGTATTTGGTGTGTGAGGTTATTTTTAATTATTTTAAACTTGTTGGACAGGTATATGAATGTGAAGGCCTTGGGTAACATTTATATGTTAAATAGGCTTTCATGTT